TAGAGGCCACAAAAGAGTCACTTTGTCTGCAGTTGCGTCTTTGTCCTGGCTTAATTCAGAAAGGTTATAATGTTCTTTGAAATAAGTCTAGCATAAATATAAACTATTAGTGTGTTAATAACCTCTAATTATTGTGAGACAGAATGATCTCACCAGTAAGAATTTCTTAGAAATGGCTTTACACACTGGCTGAAAGAAATAGAAATGTTTGTTAGAGGGTAATTTAAAATTATGGATTAATTCTCTATGGTTAAGATATTTTCTTATATTAATCCATACGTATTTACAGGGATCCTGCTATGATTGTGATGTTAGGTGCTATGGACACAAAAACAGCTTAGGATAGAAATGAGTAATGTGTGGTGGTGATCTAGAGATCTAAATAAGTCAGAACATGTTGTTAATAAACCAAGGACTGGAACTCAGCAATCTAAGAAAGGACAGATACAAGTGGAAGATTCTTGATAACCAGTATTTTCTGGTACCCTTGTTTTGCAGTTTGGTTCAGATGGCATGGTCTTTAATAATTCTCTCTAGTAGAAAAAGGAATGCTTTCACATACAAAATCTCATTGGATTCTTACAGTGTCCCTATGAAATAGGGCAAATATTATTTTCTACTTTTACAGACAAGAAAATGAGCTCAGCTAGGAATCACAGTAAATGGATGACAAAATTAGCAGCTGAACCAGGTTCTCGAAGTTCTCATGTGGTGCTCTTGTCTACGATGAGCATTCCCAAAGCACTTCCAAAGTCATACTTCTACCCTTCAAGTTCCCCTAGCCTGGCCACCATCTCCAGACTCCAGTGGTGTGCTCGGCCCTTAAACCCCTGTCCCAGCTGGGACCTCTTATTCCCTCTCCTTCAGCCAAACAGTTAGAAAAATCCATAGGAATGTTTACTTTTAAAACTAAGAGAGGACAAAAACAAAAGTATGAAAAAAATGAACTTGATTGAGTAGGTTTTGGCTCACAGATTTGCCCCAGACAAGGTAGATGAACTCCCAGGCCAGAGATCCTTTCCTTTAACTCCTCCCTGTTCAAGAGGTAATCCACCTGTCCTTGGGTAATTCTTTTATCTATTTTGGGTCCCTCTTCCCCTCCCCCGGACAAGGGGTTAAACTGAATCTCCAGCTACTCTGTTACTAGAGTAATCCATAGAAGGAAGAAATGATTACACTCGCTACAGTTGTATATCCCATCAGTAGCCTTGTTCATATGCATTCAACAGCTTTCATCTCTTCCTGAAAAAAATAAGGGGGCATATTCCAAAAACATCCTATGGGAACCTACTACTCCAATGGAGAAAAAAGTTCTCAGGATGGGGAATATGCAGCTTTAGAACCTGTCAACTAAGTGGCACCTCTCCCCATATTTCAATTTTAAAAAGTTTCTTTCTTTTTTTTTTTTTTTTCATTTCCAAGAGGGATTTCACAGGATGATGCTGAGGTCTCACAGTGATGGCAGATCTTTGATATATGAAACAGAGATCTCACCTAGCACACCTCTAAGAAGTCTAAATGCTTTTCTGCAGATCGTTCCACTTGCGTACAGAAAGTAACTAAGGGGGACAGTGTAGAGTAATGGTTAAGAGCTTAAGCTCTGAAACCAAAGTAATCTGAAATTGTGTTCCTGCTCTGTTTGCTAGCTACACAACCCTGACCAAGTTACTTTACCTGAGACTCCACATCTTCATCTACTTAAAAAATAATAATGGCTGGCATTGCCTGAGCCTGTACTATGTATGTGCTAAGAACTACATATGCTAAGTTTCACATGCTTTACATGCATTTTCTCATATAATCCTCACCACAGCCCTCTGTAGCAGTACTACTGTCATCAATTTATAGGTAAGAAAATTGAAGCACAAAGCGATTAAATAGTTTGCCAGAGATCATATGACTGTAAATGGTCAAAAGCCAGGATTCAAACACAAGTCTGATTCCAAGATCCATGCTTTAAATCGCTACCTTCTTCATAGTGATGTTGTAAGGATTAAATGAGCTAATGTTGTCAGGTCCTTTACATAGTGCCTGGCAATGTTAGTGCCTGTAAATGTTAGCTGTAGTGTTATTTTTAGTACTGACATTTGTTCCAAGAGCTATCTGAGCCAGAAAACAGGTTCAAACATAGGATATTTTGCATCTATTAGAGTTAATTTCCCCAAGTTATATGTCTTGCAAGTGAACTGACAGCCCTCTGCTATTACCTAAACAAACTGTGTATTGTGGGTTACCTAGTTAGGCAATGGGCTAAATGGTTGGCAACTTTTTTTCATTTGCCCACACAAAAAAGCTCTTCATACTAGAAAGAAATATGAAATATCCTATAAAAGAATGGTATACTGAGCAATAGCTAGCAGAACTACAGGCAATATCCAGATTATAAATGGATTGTTTCAAAAGTTCACTTGTCTATTGTTATGAACTATGAATACATAAAAATAAGGTTGCAAATGGTGGTTCCATTTCAAGACTATTTACAAAAGTCTGTTTAGCCCAATTTCAAACTCAGTGATAGAAATCATGCCACTAACCCAAAGGCAGGCCTAGGAACAAGAAGAGCCCGTATGATTAAAGAAAAAGTGTCTTTTCTGATGCAAAGGAAAGCTGATATAGAGTGTATTAGTTCTGCACTGCTAACAAATTACCCCAAAACTTACTATATTAAAACAGTACATCGTTTATTATCTCACAATCTCTTTGAGTCATCTGGGAATGGCTTACCTGGGTGTTTCTGCTCAAGATCTCTCATGAGGTTTCAGTCAAAATTGCCCAGGCTGCTGCCATGTGAAGGCTTAAACATGGCTGGAGGATCTACTTCCAACATGGCTCACTCACATGGTTGTTGACAGGAGACCTCAGTTCCTCATCACATGGGCCTTTCTATGGGACTTGAGGTCCTCATGACATGGTAGCTCTGGCTTCCTACAGTACAAGTGATCCTAGAGTGAGAACAAGAAGGCAGCTGCAATGCCTTTTATGACCTAGTCTTATAACTCATACACTGTCACTCTGCCAGATTCTATTCATTATGGGCCATAAGCTATTCATAAAGAGCAGCCCACACTCAATGGGAGGGGGAATTAAGCTCCACCTCTTGATGGGAAGCATCACAGAATTTATGGACATATCTTAAAATCACCATACAGTTTTGCTAATCTCTCATCACTCTCTCCAGGTAATCAGTGATATAAAACAGTTAAAATAAATTGGAATGCAGAACTGCAGTCCTTCTCAACAAAGTTTATTGTAAATATTTAAAAAAAAAATAAAACCATGCTCTTGCCTCAACTTTTCTTGAAAACAACTATCCCCTTTCCTTAAATGAAATCTCATCTGAAGAATTTATACTAAAGAGAGCACTCACACTCCTGAAATATTTGAGTCATTTGTATCTCTCATTAGAATTTCATTTATTTATTTAACAAATTAATTAAAAACAACAAATAGCCTACTTCCAAACTGGGTAGATTAAGATATTTGGGGTTAGGAAAGAAACCTTCAATAAACTCTCTCCATTCTGCTCACCTGAGCGCCCTGATTATTGAATATTCTGGGCTTGGGAACCATGGGATCTCTTATCCAAGTTTCCTAACCTGACTCCTATGGCTGCAGCTCCATAGGAATATTGTGGGCAGTCAAAAGTGAGGAACTGCCCTGTAGTCCCAAAGCAGTTGGTACTCTCATAACTGAGGCATGCAAGATTCTAAAGTGTCATCTGAATCTTTGGAGGAAAATAATGTTTCTTATGACTTTTTATTTTATCTTTTGTAACTTGAAATTTGGTAATCCATGTAAACTGTTATGAAAATACAACATTTACAAACACTGGAGTTTGTACTACGATTCAACTCCAGGTAGAAGCTAGAGAATAAGATGATTTCTCTGATAATGTTTTGTTGTTGCTGTGGTTTTAAATCTGGAGTCTTAACGCCATTTGAGAATATGATGAAAGCTAACGGACTTACTCAGGGAAATACGTATACCCACAAAATTTTGCACGTGTTTAAGGCCTCTCGAATTCCCTAAAACCCATCCAGGAAATCACGGAGGTGGGGGTAGAGGGAGAGTTAGTAATTGCCATTCCATCTTGCCATTAAACTTTAGATATAAATTAGAAGCTACTACTGAGAATTTAAAGATTTTAAATTAGTTGTTTACTTAAACAGAACCAAAGGCCAGAAAAAAATATTTCTACTAGATTTTCTGTGCTTGGGTTTAGTCTATATTGTGAATACTTGGGGGCAAAAGGAATGTGCAGTGAGCACACAGAGAACAAACAACACATTAGCTGAAAAAACAATGGTAATATAAATCAGGACACAGAACTGCTGACAATCATGAGCCTTGCCCTCTCCAAGTTGACCTGACTGGGCAGCAAATTTTGCCAACTTGCCAGAGAGGCAGCAATTCGAAGAGTGAAAAGCTGCTTGGCTTCCCACCTAGCAAGAAAGTGCTCAATTGGTTTTCTGCCAAGCCTCCGCAACCAAGATCTGACCCAAGATTGTTCCCGAGGCCCTCCTTCGTTGGAGCGAACTGTCGGCCACGACACCCAGCCCCGGGCGGTCCAACCGTTCGATTCTACCCACTTAGTCCGCGGACCCCGGTTTCATTTGTCTTATAACGAGGGTAAGTGGAAAGGCCGTGCCGGAGACCCCGGGCTTCGCGGGTGAGTGTATCTCGGGCAAAAGCAGGCGCGCGGGGCCCAGCAGCCAGGACCGGGCCGGGAGGACGAAGGGCCGGGGAACGCGCTGCTCCCCGCACCGTCCCCTTCCCGGGCGCCCCAGCCCTGCGCTGCGGCCTGCGTGTCCCTGCGTCGACCCCTCCTTCGC